AATTTTTTAATTTAAATTGATCAATCTTAAATTTGATTGAACAGTTAATTTTTTTGATACAATTTAATAGCTTCTAATACATTCAAATTATTTTAACAGTTTTTTTTTTCTTTTTAACAAAAATAGACAATCAATTTTTTTGAATTTTAAAAACTATCATTAATTCTCAAATTCTAGTTCTTTGCTATTTTTAGTTAAAAATTTAGAGCTATTTGCTTAATTGTACAAATATATTTGGTTAAAGAGTGGTAAGACACTTCGCATTACTAATTAAATTAATTACAATTAAATAATTCCGATTTTTTATAGCATTATTCGTTACCTTAGGAAAATGAAATTTCAATACTTTTGCTTATCTAGAAATTAAAAAGCAAAAAATTTGCAACTTTCAACTTTTAATTATACTCGATTTTCTAAAAAAAAAAAAAAATATCAACTTGGTTCTTTCATTTGTTTGTTTGTTTGTTTATTTGTTGTTTGTTGAGCTTTATCATTAAGCAAAAGATAATTATCACAGTTTCATCCTAAACTAATTTTAATATTTGTCATATTTTTGAACATTTTGTCACAATAATTTTTTTTTTTTTTCATCCAATTCCGCTTTTATTTAGCCTTTTTTCTTCCGTAAATGTCAGTAACAAATCAAATTTGTATGATAAATAATAATTTAAAAAAAAAAAAAAAGCATTTAGCATTAAATGAAAAAAAAAAACTAAATAATTGTTCACAAAAAATTAATTTTATTTCAAAAACTAATAAAATTTAACAATTATATTTTAATAATTATTAGTAAAAAAAAAAGATTTAAAAAAATAAAAAAATTAATAATTAATAGAAGAAATAGTAAAAATTAAAAAAAAAAAATAAAAGCAAATTTGAATGTAATAAAATTGTTCAAAAACTATAATTAACTTAAATGAGCGGAAGAAAAAAAAAAAAAAAAAAAAACGAATAAATGAAAAATGACAGTATTGCATAACGTTCAAAATATTGAAAATATCTTAAACAAACATTTAAAGTACTTTAAAAAATAAACGAAAAAATTTTTTTTTTGAAAAAAAAAAGTAGCTTAATAAAAATAAGACATTCTTTTAAGATGATATATTAATGATTTAAATATTATGTATTATATTTTTTCTATTTCACTTTTCATTTTTTTTTTTTATATTTTTCGTGAAAAAATTTATGTTTGAAAAAACGAATTTCAATTTTATTATTAAATTCATTTAAATTGCTATTTATGCAAAAGACTATTTATAGGAATAAAAATTCAATGATTAATTTCAAAATGATTATTTTTATATTAGCTGCAGTTCAATTATTGATATTAGTTCAAGTATTATAGAAGCAATAAATAATCTCACTCATTTATTTTTTATTTTTCAACAAAGTTAATTTGTGCATTTCCAAAAAAGAAATAATTTTAATAGTATTAGTATTAATATTAGTAATTTGCTATTTTATGATAGAAAGTGGAAAATTTTTATTTACTACAAATTTATTTACTAAAAATTAATGAAATTGTCTAAATTTTATGCTTCGAATGAATCACAAAGTTTTATTTGTCTGCTCTTTTTTTCTTTCTCTTTTCTCTATTTTGTTCAAATTTAAACATTTAAAATGAGAAACAGATAAGAAATATATATATATATAACTTGGATGTAGCAAAGGAACAGTCGATGATACCACAGAGGCGCACTTGTGCAATTGCTTCCTGGCAAATTGCTCTTCGTTAGTAAATCGCTTGTAGGTGTGAATTGAAAAATAAGCTTTGAAAATTGAAAAACGATGCTCACACACACACAAATACATACATACATACATACATACACACACATATGCAAAAACTTAAAGGAGATCGGCATAAAGCAGATACATCTCGGTAAACAATCGACGCAAGCGCTTATGTCAGATATGACGTACCTTAGGCTGGCTGCAATTCTGGAAGTTAGTTTAGCAGTCTTGGGAGGATAACTAGTAATCTTGGAAGTTGATAAGGGAAGCTAGGTAATAATCTTGGAAGTTGATAAGGGAGATTAGGCAGTAATTTTGGAAGTTGATAAGAGAGACTAGGTAGTAATCTTGGAAGTTGATAAGAGAGACTAGGTAGTAATCTTGGAAGTTGATAAGAGAGACTAGGTAGTAATCTTGGAAGTTGATAAGAGAGACTAGGTAGTAATCTTGGAAGTTGATAAGAGAGACTAGGTAGTAATCTTGGAAGTTGATAAGAGAGACTAGGTAGTAATCTTGGAAGTTGATAAGAGAGACTAGGTAGTAATCTTGAGAATTGATAAGGTACAGGAAATTACATGAAAAGTTAAATGGGAGAGACTAGGTAGTAATCTTGGAAGTTGATAAGAGAGACTAGGTAGTAATCTTGGAAGTTGATAAGAGAGACTAGGTAGTAATCTTGGAAGTTGATAAGAGAGACTAGGTAGTAATCTTAGAAGTTGATAAGAGAGACTAGGTAGTAATCTTGGAAGTTGATAAGAGAGACTAGGTAGTAATCTTGGAAGTTGATAAGAGAGACTAGGTAGTAATCTTGGAAGTTGATAAGAGAGACTAGGTAGTAATCTTAGAAGTTGATAAGAGAGACTAGGTAGTAATCTTGGAAGTTGATAAGAGAGACTAGGTAGTAATCTTGGAAGTTGATAAGAGAGACTAGGTAGTAATCTTGGAAGTTGATAAGAGAGACTAGGTAGTAGTCTTGAGAATTGATAAGGTACAGGAAATTACATGAAAAGTTAAATGGGTCATATATTTTTTTTTTAATTTAAAGATAATTTTTATCACAAAAACATATTAATTCAAAAAAAAAAAAAGGAAAATTTTTTTCCAACGTTTTACTCATTTAATTCTCAAATAAATATCAATGTCATATTTATTTGTGAATTTATTGTATGCTCATTTGATAATCACTCTATTAACTTAATATATATTACTAACTATGCTAATTTTATTTTTATATCTTCCATACTAATTTAGAAATCATTTCATTTTCATTTTTTTAATGTTAAATTTATAATCCAACAAATTAATGCATTTTTTTTCAAAAAAAAAAAAAAAAAAAGGGAAGTATAAAACTTCAAAATAACTTTCTTTGTTGTTTTATTAAAAATTAGAAAAAAAAAACGGAAAAACGGTTATGATTATAATAACCGTTTTTTTTAAGTGGTTTATAGTTATAATATCATCTAACGTTAATCAAAGTTTCATCTTCCACTTTTTTTTTTTGTTACTTTTTCCTGGTTAATGATAGCAAATAAAGTTATTAATGATTTCATCTAAAAATTTCAATACAAATTTTCAACATTCCTTCGTTCATTTATTTGTTTAGTTATTATAATAATTATCATTGTTATTAATTCTTATTAATTATAATTAATTATTAATAAATCATTATTATTAGTTCATTTTTAATTAATTTATCATTAATTTAATTAATTTACTATAATTATTTAAGCAAAAACATAAATATCTACAGACATGCATACTTCATATAATATGTATTAATAAAATTTGAGATCAATCATAAAAGTTCTCGAAAATTCTGAACGATAATTTATAAATAAACAAGTTGATTTTTCCTTTTTTTTTATCAAATTAAATAATTTTTCAATGTTTTTTTTTTTTTTTGTTTTGAAAAAAATTTCAAATAGTTTTGATACAAAAAAAAAATTATTTTTTCTTTAAAAATGAAATACTTGTTTAAGAATATTGTTGAAATTTGTTGTGTAAAAAGAAAAAGTAAAGCAAAACAAATTGCTAACAAAAACGTAAATCTTCCATTTTCCTTTTTTTTTTTCTAAAGTATTACTTAATAAAGCTAACATATATTACGTATTTTCGTTGTGACGTGAATTACGTACGTGAATTATAGGTAAGGATAATTTGTTGGTAATTTGTATATAAATCCTTTGTAAATTGATTTTTTCAATTAATATTATAATTATGATGATAATTATAATATTAATTGAATAATAAGTATTATTTTTGTAATAAGTATTATTTTTTTAATTAATAATTATAATATACAAATTTCTTCTTGTGATAATTTTTTTAGCGACATTACCGCCTGTATGTATAGCATTTTCAATGGAAAATTTTTAAACGTTAAACATTATATCAAGCTTTATGGCTTTTTATTTTATATTTATACCAGTGTTTCAGTTAGTTTTATAAACTTCTTGCAATAATTTTTTTAACGACATTACCGCCTGATGTGTAACATTTGCACTGCACAATTTTTGTCCCAGTTTTTTTTTTTTCGTGAAATTTAATCATTTTTTGAATTTATTGAAATTGTGTAAACAAACAAAGTATTTAGTCCTTAAACTCTCTAAAATAAAATATGTAAAAGTATTGTTAACATTTTATTTCATTGTAATTAAGCTGATTGAAATAATTAATGATATGTTTTTCCTGCAATAACAATTATTTAATTTAATCGATATTTTAATTTGCTTTTGTTGTTTTAAACTGAAAATCTTTTTTTTTAATATCACTTAGCTATCGTAAATTAAGATTCATTTATATTTATTCCATTTAAGTTTAAATAATTATCTGTACTTTTTTAAAATTAAATTTATCAATTACATTGACATTTCTCAAGTGTGTCAATATGATGGAAAAATTTTATTATCCTTTTATTTCATTTATTCTTTTTAAATATTTTATCACTTTTAACTTCTCTTTCGTTTTTTTTTTTTTTTTTCTTCAAATTTTAGAATTTTTTCATGTCTTCTTTTAGAAATCAATTTTAATTAGCAAAAAATTATGCATAAAAGAAAATTACGTAAAAAAAAAAAAAAAAAAAAAAAAAAAAAATTAAATGCTAAAGTTATTTCTTGTAATTTCAGTTTATAACAAATTTACGACATTTTCCCGTACGTGTTCGTATGCTCGTGTAATATTAAAAGCTTTACGTAATTCATCGAACGAAATTAGTTCCAGTGGCCAAATAGTTATTTTGTATAGTTAATTAGCATCAATCAGCACTAATGAATTATTTTATCAAACGATCAAAATCGCTTGATCTGAACTTAATTCCAAGGTTCATTTTAAATTTGATTTTCCAATTTCCGTAATAATCCAATTTACCTTTTAAATTTTTATCAACTTGTTAAGTTGTTATTATCTAAATCAACTCTTTTTATACAGCTTAAGTTTAACCTTCATTACTAAAAAATTCATTGTTGTTGAAAAAGCATACTGAAATTAAGGTTAATTTCAGGGAAAGTTATCTCGGACGATGGTCACGTGAAACTACACCAAGAGATTCTCAGCAACGCTACGAGCGTAATATTCGACGTTCATACACGCCAGCACGTGAAATTGGCTCATTTAAAGTATAATTTTACAAATCACATCGTAATGCTAATATAGCTCTTCATAAAAATACAATTTTAAGAAATGAAATATTTTCAACAATTCATCACAAATTATAGGAAAAAACGAAATATCGGGAAGTTCTTCTTTTTTTCTTTTCAAATTTAAATGCAATTTATTATTTTAAGTTTGAAATTTTTTTCTAAATAGTTCAAAACAATATGAAAATTTGTTTAATTTTTTCTTAAAAAAAAAAAACAATTATATATAAATCATTAAAATATTATTAGTTTTAGAAATTGGTTTTTTTTTTTTCTTTCCAACTTTAAAAATGATTAAATAAAAAAAAAAGTATCGTTATCAAACTTAACATTATCAAGGAAGATAATAGAATGAGAGTATTTATTTATTTTTTTTTTTATTTTGATATTGTACAGAAGATGACGAACAGATCAAAAAGAAATATTATGAGATAAAAATAGAAATTTTTTGATAATAAAATGCACATAATATTTTTATCATTCATTCACGTCAATTTTAACGTGAAAGTATTAATGTGTACTTCTGTTGTTTGCTTACTTTTAAGGTAATCGAGGATGATCGATTACCACGTACGCCTCATCGAGCACGTACCTCACTTGGCATTATCACTACACCATATCATACTAATATCAATTACTATCAAGAACAGTTACCTATACGGAAATATGATATTTTTAGCGTTCGTACGTGGGCTTATCCTATTTATAAGTAAGTATTTTATATATTTTCCAATTAGTGCTGCTTTTAAATCATAACAACAATAAGTAATAATAAATAATAAATAAGTAAATGAATAAATAAATAGTAAATCCTACACATAAAACAATCTCACTAATTAATTAATCAGTGAGATTTTTTCGGTAGAAAACGTACGATTAATTTTTTGCTATGATCAATTACAATTTATTTCATTAGCAAAGATTTTTCTTGAAAAGAATAATGGCAATTATATTGCATTTCATTTAATTTTAATTTAAATAACACTGCAATAAATGAATAAATATTTTTATGCAAAATGGAAAATATTAAAATTTAATGCAAATACCTTATTTATTTATTTGCTTATTTATTATTATTATTATTAATATTATTATTATCGTTTTTATTATTTTTTATTATTATTATTAATTATTGCTGTTATGATTTGCATTTCAGTTAGTAAAAAATTGTATTTATTTCGATTAAATGACTATTTGCAAATAATAAATTTAAAATTTAATATTATAATATCAAATATTATCCATTCATTCACTCATTCATTTATCATTTCCTTTCTTTTTTCTTTCTTTCTGTTCCTCTTTCTTTTCACATTCTCTTTTCTCTCTCAATAAACAAAATGCTTTTCATATTTACAACATACACACACACACACACACACATACATACACACACACACACACACACACACACACACACACACACACACACACACACACACACACACACACACACACACACACACACACACACACACACACACACACATACACACATACACACATACAGATTTGAACTTTTGCTGAAAGGATAAAAATAGCTGCGATTGCATTTCATCAGTGACGGAGTGCTGCAAGCAAGCACTAATGTGTGCTTTATCTCTGATAACATATTATCATAACATTTCCCGCACTGATAAGGTCAAGGTTAGTTTCCCGCACTGATAAGGTCAAAGTTAATTAGCTAACAGCTTTGGGTAAAATTCCAATAAAGAATGGCACCAAATAGAATGCTGAAACGATCGTATGATCATCCATTTGATAAATTTCAACCTAGCAATCTTCATTGGGCTTCTCGATCATACTGGTTTGCTTTATCATTCATTGCTCGTTTGATCATTTTGCTATACCTTCTAATTGTTTTCAAATATTCCAAATCTTATCATTTTATATTTAGTTTTAGATTTTTTTTTTAGAAGTTTAGAAGTTTTTTAGAAGTTTGCAAATTTTAAACTGAAAATGTAGATGTACTTTTGTATGATTGTGATTATTTTAATCTTTTGTTTACTTTTGTTTTATTAGTATTTATTTGTTTTTAATATTTATTAGACTATTCTTTTTTGTTTGGATTTATTTTTTGATTAACTTAACTTACACTGGTTGTTATCCTATATTATCGATATTTAACTTATTAAGAATGACAGTATTTATTGAATTTTTTTTCTGGCTACTTTATCTAATTATTTAATTTAGTATTTTGTTTATAGAATAAATTATATCTCGTTGACAATCATTTAACATCTCTACAGGTATTTACACAGTCGTGATTTGGCACCCACGCGACCGTACTCATTTACACGTATTTATGGGAATACATCGACGTACACACCGCCAATGCTTGCTGCTGAAACACGTAGATTAACACAGCGACGTAACTATACAGGTTACACGTATATTGGAGCCGAACATAGCTATGATATAGCATCACGTCCTAATTCACTTGACAATTATCACTTTTGGCGATCACATATACCTAGGTAAGAGATTTCTTTTCTTTTTTTTTACGCTAAAATTATTGTAAAATTAGCAAATATAAAATTTAAAAAAAAAAAATTTTTAAATATAAAAAATTTAAAAAAAAAATATAAAATTTAGCAAAACAGAAAAGGAAATATTTGACGCATTAAAAAGTACAAATATTTTCGAAATTAACAATAACAACAATCTTTTGCTATAAAAGAAAAAGAAAAGAAAAATTTTTTTTTTTTCAAAATTTTGCCACAAATGTTTTTCAGCATTTTATTACCATGAATGTTGAATAAAGTGTAATGAAGTTTTAAAAAGTTTGAAAAAGTTTAACAGAATTATTTGATTTGTGAATGATTGATAGTATATTTCAATTATCAAATTTAATTGATTCTAATTGTTGTTTGTTTAATACTATTAAAGTGATTATTAATTGATTAAATTAATTTAATATTTTTGAAAGTGATTATTAATTGATTAAATTAATTTAATATTTTTTTTTTTTTTGAAAACTTTATGCTTACAGTTCATCATTGTATACATCTTATTATGGTAATAGCGGTTTACGTCATTACAATAGCTATCGACCACGTACTTTTATCAGTCGTTTATCAAGATATTGGGCACCATATTTTTAATACCTATTTATTGCTTCATTTTTTAAACATTATTAATATTATTCATTATTGTATTATCATTATTCTATTATAGTAATAATAACAATGATTAATTTTTATTATTACTATTATTAGTACAATTGCTATTGTAATGAAACTCAATGTGATTGTTTTAAAAAATACCTAAATCTGAGTAATATAGATAGTATTCAATTTTCTTACTCATTTTCAGATATTTTAACTTGATAAATATCATATTTTAAAAAATTTTGATCGTTTAATAATTATCAGTTATTTCAAATTTTGATCAGCTATTGTCTAATTTCATTTACAAAAACATTTTTTTTTTTTTTCAGCGATACATTAAAATGCAATTTAAAACAATTTATATTATTTTTTCTATTTTCTGACAAAAAAAGAAATTATTTCTATTTAAAATTATTATTTAAAAAAAAAAATTTAGTTTATTAAAAGAAGAAGCTGCTACCGACCGTAGTTTTCTTTTTTTCGAACTTTTTTAGAAAAATATATTTTTCTAAAAATTTTCATCAAGTTTTTTTTTTTTTTTTTTTAATACATTGGACAATGTATAATTAATTACGAATGAAATTTTAGTGTCAATTTTACGAATAGAAAAAAAAATTTTTAGTGTTAACTTCGTAATTTTTTTTTTTTTTTTTCATTTTATATATAAAATCTGCCAAAATAAGCACATTAATCAGTAAACACACTAATTTGGTTCGATGTATTTAATTGATGGAAAAGTATTTTTTCTTTTTTTTTTTTTTCCAAATTGTTTTATACAGAAAAAAGTCAATTACAGGAATTATTTCAAATTTTCATCATTTAAATTAAATAACTAATTTTAAATATAAAATTTTAAATACACTTTTTTTTTTTGATATTCTTAATGATAATTTTTAGCTGCCAGTTAACAGTAATTATCATTATCATTATTATCATTATCATTATCATTGTTATGTATAAACTGATATCATTTTCCATTGTCACTCATTTCTATTACATATGCAAACTGAATTTTGAAAATAACAATTGCATATGCATTGCTTATCGTATTTTACTAATTAATAAAAATTTGCAGTACGAAAAAGTTGTACAGCAATTATTGCTGTAATTGTAATATTTTCATAATTACAACGAATAAATATTGAAAATAACAATTCAAATTTGTCAAATGTGTGAAGTTGGAAAGGAATAATTTATTTTTAATTTTTTATTTATTTCATTCAATAGAAGCAAATTTTTACATTTTTGAACAATTTCTGACAAAGTTTGTCTGAAAATTACCACTGCTCCGGGTAATGTGTTTTAGGAAATTTGATATCAAATATTTTCCACACTTTTCAGTTGTATTTACTTGCAGTTTAAAAATTATTAAATAATTTATTCTAATTAATATTTGAAACACAATTATCTTCTCTCCTTTTTTTCTTTCTATGAGATAAAATTAGAATGGAATGGATAATTTCTTGTAAGCTTAATTGGATGTTGTATGCTTGTAAATGAAGTGAAATTTCAAAAATACTAGGGAATATTTCAAATTTAAATGTATCATTACGGGTTAGCAAATAAATAAAAAAAATAAATATAAAATAAGTAAATAAATAATTTTTGATTTAAGGATGGTGTATCATTACGAGTTCGCAAAGCATTTTTTTAACAAATATTAGTGTACAGAAAATATATATCTGAAATGGATTTATTCTGATATAAAAAAGCAAAATTTTATATCAATCAAAAAAAAAAAAAAATTTAAAAAGAAAAAAATCAAAAATAAAATTTTACATTGAAAACACAAAGACTTTCACATAATATCTGTGTTATTTCAACAATTGTTAGTTATCAATTTTGAGCAAAAAAAAAAAAATGAAATTTATTTATTCATTCAGTGATTGATAATATATTTGTTACTTTTTGGTTTAAAATAAATAAAATATTTAAAATAAAAATGTTTAAAGCAAAAAAAAAAAAAGAAGAAAAAATGGAAGAAGTAAGAAACATAAGTATGGTACTTTAAAAATAACGTGACAAAAAAAAAAAAAAACTCTTAAAATTTGCTTTTGTAAATTGAAATTGTGTAAAGTAAACAAAGATAAATTCTAAAATTTTTTTAAGCACAAAATAAAATTTAATTTTGAGCGTCAAAAGTCTTTTTAAAAAAAAAAAAAAATAAAATCCACTTTTTCGTTGTCGTAAAATAAAAATAGTGACATTTCTTGCATTAATAAAACATTCCCTTCGTTTTTGACATTTATAAATGTTACAAAACTTTTTGTTATCCGTTTCAAATATTTAAAAGAAATTTTTTTTTCTACAATTCGAAACACAGAAAAAAACAAAAGTTTAAAAGTTCAAAAAAAAAAAAAAAAAAAAAAAAAAAAAATGTTTTCCCAAAGATTAATGTTGTACTGCTTTTATTTAAAAAATATAGTAATACTAGCAATATGTTTTATCAAATATTTAAAATAATATTTATATTTGATAACTGAATATTTTCATTCTATTGATGTTTTCGTTTTGTTGTTTCAAAATTAATCAATAATTCATTTTTAATCATTTACCTGAAAAATTTTTGCCTTTCTTGCATTTTCAATCGTTTATTTTCAAATAATTGATTTATTTTTGACTTTGCTAAATTTAACCTTATCACATACAGAATAAACAATAATTCATTTTCAACTATTACACATATAAATTAAACAATAATTCATTTTCAATTATTAATTTTCTTTTTTTTTTTTCAAAAAATCTACATTATTTTTAAACATTAATAATTAATCATATTTGTCCCATATTTTAGCAAATATCTTTTCAAGCATATGGCCAAAATGAAATCATACATTGTTTGTGATATAAACAATAAAAAGAAGGAAATTTCGAGAAGAAAATTTTAAAGTAGAAGTGATAAGAGGTAAAAAATGATAAGGAGTAGAATGATAAATAAAATAAAGTGATGATAAAGCGAATAAATACAATCAAATTTTCATTTTGTTGAAAATAACAATGCATAATTTTTACTTCGTATTCATTAATTTTTCTTTTTCCATTGGAAAAAAAAAAACCAAACAAAAAGAAAACAAATCTTTTTTTTCTATTTATTTAAATAGTTTCATCACAATAATATTTTCATTACAAAAAGTTCAAAATTTTTCTTTTGATAAATTTTTTTGATAAAAAAAAAAAAAGAAAAAATAATTTGTTTACATTTAGCAACGTTTATTGATGTACTAAAGAAGGCGGAAGAATAATATTGGACGGAAGAAAAGCAATGAAAGGTAAATTAAAAAAAAAAAAAAAAAAATGAAACATAAAGAAAAATTTTTATTTATGAATCATAAAAATGATGGAAAATTGCTGTTTATACTTATTTTTTTTTTCTTTTTTACTTTTAAGTTTTTTACTTTCAAAAAATGGAAGAAAACTGAAAAAAAAAAAAAAATGAATCATAAAGAAATAATTTTTATTTATGAATCATAAAAAAAAAAAGTGATGGAAAATTGTTGTTCATACTTAGGTTTTTGTACTTTCAATTTCAACTTCAATTTCTTGCGACTTTTTCAGTAGTGCTTCGGTCTGATGACTGGTGGCTGTATCAACCTGATCCAGAATATTTGATGCTTTATCTTTCAAATTAAGTGCTGCATCCGATATTTTGTGCTTAATCGTTTCGGCTGTAAAATTTGTGAGCGATAAATTCTGTTCAAGTTGAAAATTTTATAGCAAATTAATTTTAGCAATTTCAACTAAGGAAGTATATGCTTTCCTTCTAATAGAAATAATTCAATTAAATCAACAATTTATTTCCAAATTGATTAATTGCTTTACACATGAAATGAGAAAGAAAAATCAATGGAAAAGTGGAGAAATGTACTTTTAGTTATGCAATAATATAGAATTTAAATGATATTGATTCAAATTATTGATCACAGTTTGTATGTGTATCAATCAATAATCAATATCATATATAATTCTAATCAAATAATTAAGATTAATTAACAAAAAGTTATGATAACACAACTATTTCCCAATTAAAATATATTAAGATCAATTATTATGGAAATTATCATGCTAATATTGTCAAAAAAAATCGCCATATAAATAAATATTCATTTCTTATTTTCAATATTTTTAGGAATTTAAAAAAAAACTCTAATATTTCAGCAAAATTTGATAGCTCTATTAGATTCAATGAAATTTAGCTTACCGAATATATTTGATCAAATTACAGTCAAAAATTTGGTAAAAATAAAAATTTCAAAAGAAATTTTTTAAAAGAAAAAAAAAAAAAAACAATTTTTTTAATTTGAAGAAAAGAAAATGTTTTCTTCTGTGAAAAAAAAAAAATGAAAAGATTTATGTCGCTTCATACAAAATGAATAGGAAAAAAAAACAGAATTAAATAAGATAAATAGTTTTTTTTTTTATAAGTTATTTATTTTCTTAGTTTTTTTTTTTTTACTTTTATTTTTATTTGACTTAGTCAATTTATCTTTTTTATCTCTTTTATTCTCAAGTTTTACTTTTTTTTTTCTGAAAAATTGCTTACTTCAGATACAACTTACTACAATTCTTTAATTGTAGAATTGCTTTTTTTTTAAAAAAAAAAAAATTAATGTCAAATTTTATTGTTAATTAAACTAAGATATGAATAAACAAGGGATGAAAAAAACTAAGGAATGCATATCATTTTTGTTATTATTATTATTTTTTTTTTTAAAAATAATTACTTATTATTTATGTATATGAGATCAAATACATAATAATAAGAATTACTTATAAAAATTTTACAAATTTAAATTTGAAAGGAAAAGAAAAAATATTGCTTACTTGCTGAGCAAGCGGCTTCCTTTGCTTTTGTTGCAGCCTTATCAATCGCTTCCTATAAATTCAAATTTCAAAGTAAGTGTGATTAAAATTTTGTATGAACATATATTTTAATACATCGATGAAGTGAATCTAAGCTGAAAAGAATAGAAATAATATGTTAGTTTTACTGTATC